GATCCATCTAAAGTCCAGCTGGAGCTAGGGGGGCCCCTGTTGAAAGAAGAACAACTGTAGACCTTCTCCCTGTGAACTGCAGACGCTAGGCAGCTGACATCTGTGGGACTTAACTGCAGGGCAGCACTATTCAAGGGAGCTAGGTCTGCTATTCTGTATGCCAACTCTCCCTGGAAAGCCTGAGCAATCAGTGAGAGGGCTCAGGGGGTTTGAGGTCATACTGCTAGGCTGTGAGATCCGTGGGAGCCTGCATGTCATGTTGAGGCCCTAATTCATAGAGCTGCAGGGGGTCTTGTACAGTAGGAAGCCATGTCCCTGTCACTATATACCCTGGTCAGCGCTGTGTACATGGGGAAGGTGGGTAGGCTGGATGGTGAATAAAAATTTCTCTCTCCCCTGGGATTTTCTCTCACTCGCTTTTTTAAAGCACTGTATGATAAATGTGCTTCCTAATGATTTTTGAGTAAACTACAATGGCCACAATTTCAAAATCATTAATAATTCATGACCAGGGGCCATAAACACTACATAATCTCTACAGGCAGAAGCCATGAATACTTGTTAGAGGCGAGGCTGAGAATATTTTTACCAGCTGAACTAAGAGTATTTACTGACTGCAAGCCAACCATCAAAGGTACATTTTTCAGAACCAACTGTAACCCTTCCAGCACCTCAGCTCAGCCTGGCTCTCCAGGAAGTCTTTCCTTCCTCTGACACCCAAGGGCTTCACGTAGATACTTCTGTGCTCTCTATTCTTTGTTCTCCCTCTTGATCTGTATCTGTGGGTTTCTAGAGACTGAGGGGCTGGGTGCCGGGCAGGCTGTGCACGGTACACAGGGAGCCTGTGGTCAGGAGCCAGGGCTGCCTCATGCTCCCAAAGCCCACTTATCCTTGTCTGCACATGGGCACTGCTGGCAGTTAACACATTCTGATGTCTGGGTCCACACCCAGAGCCTGATTTACTAGTTTGGAGAGACCTAGACAGGATAGTTAAAATCTCCCAGGTAGGCTGGGTGTAGAGGCACAACCCTATAATTCCAAAAAGTGAGAGGCAGAGGCAGGAAGAGCACAAGTTCAAGGGCTAAAAAGATGGCTCAGCAGTTAAGAGCACATATTGCTCTTACAGAGGACCTGAGTTGGGTTCCCTGCACCCACATCAGATAGTTCACAACCCACTATTCCAGTTCCAGGGGATTTAATGCCCTCTTCTGGCCTCCCGGGGCACTGTACTTACACGCACAATCCCCTCCCCCACCCCACCCAAACACATCATTTAAAAAAAAAAAGAAAAACAACTCAATGCCAATCTGGGATAGAAGGTAAGACCATATCTCATAAAACAAAAAGCTCCCAGGTGATGCTACCACAAGCAGCCTGTAAATCACTGATGGAAAGCACAAAGCACAGCATGATGCTATGGACCTATCTCCTTCCAAAGAGAGGGAAGATAAGGATGGAAACCTGGGCACCCCATGTAACAGCCAGCCACACCAGTGACAGCCATTGCATACTGACACCTCATAGGAATAAGGGCTCTGTGCTGTCATCCTCACTCTTCCTTTTTATGTTTGGGGTTGCTAATTTGGCACGGACTTTGCTCTGTAGCTCAAGAAGGCCTCAAAGTCACTATATAGCTCAGGCTACCTTTAAACTCCAACTTCTCCTGCCTGAGCCTCCCAGGTATATACAACTATGCTGGCTCTTCAGTTTTCTAAAGAAGTCAGAAGCCTGTATAAGAGGTGAACCTCCCAATATATATGATCTTTTTGAGACAGGGTCTCCCTGTAGCTCCAGCTAGCCTGGAACTCACTATGTAGACCAGGCTGGCCTCAAACTCACAGAGATCCACCTGCCTCTGCCTCCCGAGTGCTGGGACTAAAGGCATGTGACATCCTGTCTCAAAAAAACCAAAAAAGAAAATAAAAAAATATGTAGTGAAGTATTTGCTCACAAGTGTGAATATGGAAATTCAGATCCCAGAACTCCTCTAAAAGCCCTATGGGTATCCATCTGTAACCCCAGCACTTGGGAGGCAGAGACCCAGATCCTGGGTAACCCAGCAAACTGGCTAGCTAGATTAGCTAGAATCAACAAGCTTGGGGCTAAGAGAGACCCTGTCTCAATGAAGTAGACAACAACTGAGTAATATATTCACCTTCAACTTGGGCCTCCACATGCATGCACACTTGCACTCACACATGCAGACAAGCCATGCATATACACACATACACATGCAAAAAAAAAAAAAGATTAAAAAAACCCCATTGTAATGGGGCAGGATTGAAGCACAGCACCACTGTGGATTGAATGTGGCCTGGCAAATTCACTGAGAGCCATATCCCACCACCTCACTGTATCAGCCCAGGAGCCCCCCTCACCACCACCACCATGCAGGAACTGTCCCCAATATGAGCTAGGGTGGAAACTACATTTTCACCTGCTGGGGAGAGAGTGGCCTGTACAGCCTTACCAGGGAAGGGACATGACACGTGTCCCTGGCTGCTTGTTCCAACCAGCCCTGAGAATTAGACAGCCTGTCTTTGCCTTGCCTTTCACAGTGACAGAGCTTGATCTATGGCTGGCAATCTGAGTAAGGCATGCAGTGCCAGCAAGTAGCTATTTCCCAGGTGAGGGGAGTGGGGGGAACAGTGCAGAGAGGCAGCAGTGGGGTGGGCATGGTCAGGGGACATGGGGAGAGTCCCTTTAGCCAGCTATGACCAATGCCCTTTGTTCTTTTGTTTTTCTAACCAAAGGAAAGCCCGTTGAGAGAGCCAGCCCGAAGCCTCTCTTTGCAGAGGGCCTGAAGCCATCTTAAGTATCTTTCAGGATTAAACCTGGGCATTGAGATAAACAGCCTCACTCTTTGTTTTTCACTTCAAGCACTTTTTAGAAGAGAAATGATCTGAAATACTCTCAGGCAATTGGCACAATGGGAGATGCTGGGAAAGCAGCAATTAGGGGGTTCTGTTGCTAAGGGAGAGAGGGAGAGAGGGAGAGAGAGAGGGAGAGAGGGAGAGAGAGAGAGATTCTTGCTGTCTTTCCATCCTTCCTTCTCCCTCCCCACCCCCAAACATAGAACTTGATCAAAGGGCCCTGTGGTAACCATGGTCCTTGCCGCCACTTCCCACCCCTCTTGAGGTTCAAAGGTCTTGCATTTTCTTTATTCATGTCTATTTTTGACCATGTTGTTTCCTTGGACTAGAAAACGATTTATCCTCTAAGAGGCAGCCTGTCTATCACCCTTTGTAAAAAGACTTTCTTCCTTTCTGTCTACGCATGTCTGGTCGACCTTGAACTTCTGATCTTTCTGCCTCAGACTCCAGGTGCTGAGATTACAGGCTTATGCCATCACACAGGGCTTGCAAAATCTTTTTAAAACAATAATGATTTTATTTTTAATGATGTGTGTGTGTCTGTGTGCTGTGTGTGTGTGTGTGTGTGTGTGTGCGCGCACGCGCGCACCCGAGTGCAGGTGCCCAGGGAGAACAGAGTGTTGTATCCCCCAGAGTTAGAATTACATAACAAAGCTGTGAGTCACCCAACGAAGGTTCTGGGAACTTAACTCTGCTCTTACAAGAACAGTACATAGTCTTTAAATTTTTTTAAAATTTTATTATTTTTTTTTAATTTTATGAGTATGAGTGCTTTGCCTGCATGTATGTAAGTACACTTGTGCATGCAATGTCCTTGGAGGCCAGAAGAAGGGTTCCTAGAACTCCCATTATAGACAGCTGATAGTCACCATGTGGGTGTGGGAACCAAACCCTGGTCCTCTGGAAAAGCAGCCAGTGCTCTTAACAGTTGAGCTATCTCTCCAGCCCAGCAAAGCCTATCTTGATACTGCTGGCTGTGTTAGGTGACCTAGTTTCTACCCTGCAATCACACTTTCTCTGTCCTATGATAGTTTTGCACACTGTACTACAAAAATCCTGGGGTGCCTCTCTTCCAACTACACAACACACAAAGCAACAGTGTCACACCATCCCTCAGTCTTAGCAAGCAGGCTCAGTGGGGTAGCTCTCAAGATTGGCCACAGCCCTGCATGGTGGCTCACGCCTTTAAGCCCAGCACTCTGGAGGCAGAGGCAGCAGATCTCTGAGAGATTGAGGCCAGCCTGGTCTACATAGTGAGTTACAGGCCAGCTAGGGCTACAGGGAGACCCTGTCCCCCCAAAATAAACACACACACACACACACACACACATACACAAAGAGAGTACTATGTAGTTCTTTCTTCCCACTGAGAAGTGAGTCCTGGTCCTGTGTGTGGTGACACACACCTATATTCAAGAGGAACAGGAGTGTCTTGGGTTCAAGGACAGTCTGATCTATAATTGTAAGTTATAAAGTTATAGACTAACCTGGGCTATGAACTCCTGTCTTAAAAATTAGAAAAGAAAAGCCAAAAAAAAAGTGACTATTCACTACCGCCACCACCCCTTTCTTTCTCTTTTCTTCTTCTTTTCCCCACCTCCTAAATCTGGCCTGACCTTATGGCATGCTTTGAAGCCCCTGGACCCAGCTGAACCTGACAAATATCCTTTCACTCTAGAAAATGACAGATGCGACCCTATGGCCTTTGTAAACCCAAGACTGGGAAGTCTCCCAGCTGGCACTTGGTTTTCTTGGACCCTAGAAGCTCCATGTGGGCAAACCTGATTGGCTTGCTGGAGGAGAGTGCATGTGGCAGCCAGCCAGCCAAGGTGATATAACAGTCACAAAGGAGCCTCAGCTCCTTTAACAGCAGGCACCTGGCCCATCAGCAGGGTCCCTGAGAGGCCCAGATTGCAACTCAGACTCAGGAACTTTTAAAAGCATGGCTGTTAAGTCACTGACATCTGGAGTGATTTGTCACACAAAGCCAATGGATGTGCTCACTGAGAGATTATTATCACAAGTGACAACAGGTTGAGAAGGAGATCACAGAATAGCTAGTCCTATTGGCACCCCACTCAGCCTCCAGGTCCTTACTTCCCCTAGTCTTCACCAAAGACACATTACCTCCTTTTTCTCCCGGGGGCAGGACCGCCTTCTCTCCGCCTTCCGCAGGGCCTGACCTGTAGCAGTTCAAAAGCAGAAGCAGAGATTAAAGCTGTTTGGGAAGGACTGGTTTATCATCGCAAAAGCTTTTTATTTGCAAACTGAAAAGACAGGACCAATCATAATCAAATGATTTTAAGAAAAATGTAGCCTATTATTATAATGGGAAAATGGCACACTTTTGAAATAGACCAACGGCAAGGAAAAATGGTAATTCACACATTCATGTTATTTGACTATAATGAATAAAGCTCCAGCCCTTTAATCTGGGCTATTATCTGCACTCTGAAAGGGCCGATGGACTGTAGTTTTCCCTGTCGAATTACATTTCTATTAAATTGTTTGGAATTACATAAAGTGCCTTCCACAAAAATGTCTTCTGTTGCCCACATAGGATTCTGATGTTGCGTCAAATCCCACACTCACAGTACAGGTGACTGTGCAGATGTGAATTAGCAGTAATCATTCACATAATGGGCAATTTCAGAGAGAATCACTGCTTTTCTCAGAAAACCTTAGATTAGCGTTTGAAGGTATGCATAAATTCGAGAAGCACCATTTGCTTGAATACCCTCTTCCAAAGGCAGCTTTCACAACCGAGGGAAGTGTCCACTCTAAAAGGTTCTAACATTGTTTTGGTTTTAAAATATAAAACAGAGGTCACTGTGTGTTGTCAGTGTATCACCTAAAGTGCCCAACTTCACTCCCAGATGGCTATTTGTGACTGCCACAACCACATGTCCTATTAGGTCTCTCAGAAGGCAGGAGCCAAGAGGCTGAGAGGCAGGAAATGAGGACCAAGGCTCAGACAAAGGCGGTTTGTTTTTGGACATCTTCCAGATCATCTGCTGCTAAAGTATGGATCTTGACTGTTCATGCGCCATGCTTTGACCTGGAAATGTCCCTGCAGGCTCATGCTGTGGAGTCTTTGGGAGGTGGGGCCTGGCTGAAGGAAGGAGGGGCAGGCCTCTGAAGGTCATACCCACAACTGGTTACGGCCTGTGTTCTCTGCTTCCTAGCATATGAGATGTGAACCCTGGGCCTCCTGCTCTCATCCCTAGAGTCACTCCTGTCGCCATGCCTTCTCTATCACAGGAAACTGAATCTCAAATTTATGAGTCAAAATAAACCTTCCTTTCCTTGTTTCTGCCAGGCACCTTGTCACAGCATTGAGAAAAGTGACGAATACACCATATGTTGAAGGTGCCCACCTCCTGGTGTTATTGGGAGGTGGGCCCCAGTGGAGGGTTGGATACCCTTCCTCTTCTCTTTGTGCTGCATTACCACAGGGCCAAAAGCAACAGGACAACAGACCATGGACTAAAGCATCCAAAATAACTGTGAACCAAAATACACATTTTCTTTTCATAAGCTGATGGTCTCGGGTATTTGTTACAGTAGAAAACTGACAACACATCTGCTCAGCTTATAATGACCCCTTAAACTAGCCTCTGTTCCTCTCTCCACTGTTTGCAGAGGAGATCTGGGGCAGCCATGACTACATGTGACCCCATGCTCCAAATCTAAGTATGTCATACCAGGGGTGGGCCCCTAACCAGCCACAGCCAAGTAGAATGCCAGCCCAGGAATTTGGAATTGTTTCTGAGAGACAGCAAGGAGAGAGAGGCAAGGTGGGGCTGGTTTGTGAGCTTTGATGTTGTGAGTAGCCAGAGGCCACCTGCACTGGGACAGAGATGTCAGGACACCAGGACAGGAGGAACTGTTGAGACTCCCAGTCTGACTGCTGTTGTGTTCCCCAGACACCCCTTTGTAACTTTTCTGACTCTATGTTTTCCTTTCCACCTTAAGACAAAGAACTATTCAGGACTGGGTGGTTTAAAAGGACCCAGGATTGCCAGGGTATGGTGGCTTACGTCTTTAATTCCAGTGCTCCTGAGACAGAGGTAGGGGGATCTCTCTAGGAGGCCAGCCTGGTCTACACAGTGAGTTCTACACCAGCCAGGGTGTACATAGTGACAGCCTCTTGGGGGCGGGAGGAACAAAACAAAAAACAAAAAAACTCAGGATAATAGGCATTGTGAGATGGGATGCCCAGAGTTGGGAAGGCTGGGGATGTAGCTAGGTAACAGTGCTTGTCTAACATAAGCAAGACCCTGGGTTCCATCTCCAGCACTAACAAAAATGCTTATGTGAAGATGGGGGTTCTCTGGTAACCCTGAACTTTCTGCTTAATTTTGCTGTGAATCTAAATTGCTTTAAAAATAAGGTTTGGTATAAATGGTTAAAACATTTATACCAAAGAGACCAGGGTCTAGGGGTCAGGAGATCTGGTTGTTGGGCTAATTTAAACATGGCCTTATTGAAACCCAATGTTTTGGGGCTAGATCTAGAGAGAACATTTCAGAAACCCTTGGTCATCCCTGCTCTGGCTGTTAGTCTAGGGATTTGGAACTCACCTTCAGCTGGCCAGAGAGGATGATATGCTGGGTAGCCTGCCCACACAAAGCAGAGCCTGGAATGAGCCTGAGGTGGAAGGGCTGGAAACCAGGGTGCCACCAGACCAAGACATTTTCACAGAGGGTACAGTGCTAGGGCAAGTGAGATGCTAGCAGGGCAGGCTCAGAGTAAGGCAGGGAGCAGGAGGGCAGCAGAGCCAGTTTGGGACCAACGTGGCAGGTGGCAGGCTAAGTCTAGCAAGGTCCTTCCTTTGCCAGTCATACCCTGGGGCTCTGGGCGAGTACTGAAGAATCTATAACCTTTGATAAGTCCCAGGATCTCTCTGGGCCATAGCTCCCTCCTGGAGTTTTTTGTTGTTGTTGTTGTTTAAACAGACTGAATCATCTCTGGGCTTGCTTTCCATCTCCTAAAACTTCATTGGGGCATGGTCTAGTGATAACAGAGTGTTTGCTTAGCATGTGTATGGCCTTGCTATCCCCACACCACCAAAAGTAAAAAAAGATGATAAAACAGAATCTCATCACATGTTAAAACAAAGCAAAACATTAAGGTGGGCCATAAACACAAACCTTAACTGCTCAGTGAAATTCAAAAGCAAATCTCTCTACTGGAGTTAATTAGAAGTGTCTTTATTCATTAAATTGGAAAATAATTTGCTTATTTTCCAACAAAGATAATGTGCTCTAATTACAAGCATTTGTATCTAACCTCCCTCAAAGATGGGTTGGCTGGGTCCTCGCACCGGGAGCCCCTCTCCTGCAGGTAGCCTCATCCCAAGAAGGCAGAGACAGCTGCTCTTTGCCAAGGACAGAAGGGCGGTACCCAGCCTCCACTGTGCCTGCCTATTGTATGTGGCATCTTTGGTTATCTTCCTTACCTGTACCTCATTTACTCTCACAACTCCGGGAGAGAATCACATTAATATCAATATATGCCGCCTGCAAAATTAAAGGGGTGTTCCTCTGCACTTTGCAAGGTGACCTGTCTACATCAGCACCGAAGCAATAAATAAGGCCAGATGTAAATGCTCATGTGAGCTTCACTTTGCAGCGCAGACATGTGCCTGGAAGTGAATGCACAGAGCCTTTGTAAACCTAACACTAGCCTTCCATTTATGACTTCAGAAAGGCTTTATCTGCACTTAGGATTTATTTCCAGCGTTAGGATCCAACACTTCAGCTTTACTCTGCTCTAGATGGAGATAATATTCACCACTGCCATTTAGAGAAGTCATGTCTTCCCTGGATGCTAGTTTCTGATGTCATCAGGCAAGGGGAAAAAAAAAAATCAATGTCCAAATTACGCTCGAAAACCTGCTTAAGTTATCCATAAAGTACAGTTCAGGACACAGCTTTTTATACCCATTTCGGTAGACTAATATGCGTGTGTAAAATTTGGTGCACATGAAAATACATAATACATATGCAAAATATATTTTTATGCTATTCCTCATTAAACTATTCTTATTTCAGCTGCTCCCTCTGTTTTTCCTTAGTCAGACAAGGGAAGAAAGGTGGGGATGCAGGCAAGAGCTTGGAAGTTCAGCACTTGGCTACCACAGCTCCACTGTCTGCAGCCAGCTTCTATACAGATGTATCTTCCTTATAACCACGTCTATAAAAGGCCACACAAAGCTGGGCGTGATGGTGCACGCCTTTAATCCCAGCATGGATCACTGTGAGTTCAAGGCCAGCCTGGTCTACATAGTGAGTTCCAGGACAGCTGGGGCTACAGGGAGACCCTGTCTCAAAAAAAAAAAAACAAAAAAAATAAACAAACAAACAAAAAAAACAAAACAAAGGGCCACACAGTAAATATTTTTGGTTGTAGGGCATAAGGTCATAAGATCTTAAAACCATAAGACCACAGCTATTTAACTCTGCCATTATAGAGCATTAAATTATTCCAATAAGCTGGGCGTGGAGGTGCACACCTTTAGTCCCAGCACTTGGGAGGCAGAGGCAGGCAGATCTCTGTGAGTTTGAAGTCAGCCTGGTCTACATAGCAAGTTCCAGGCCAGCTGGGGCTATAGGGAGACCTTATCAAAAAGACAAAAAAAAAAAAAAAGTCCAATAAGTTTTTTTTGGTTTTTTTTTTTTTTTTTCCTTTTTTTGAGACTGGGTCTCACTATGTAGCCTGAGCTGGCCTGGAATTTATGTTGATCAGAGTGGCCTCCAACTCAGAGGTTTGCTTGTCTACCTGCCTCTGCCTTTAGAGTGCTGGGATTAAAGGTAGTGCTCCAGCAGCAGCAGCTTTGGCCTGTAGACTTTTCAAATTTTATTTTATCTTATCTGACCTTATTCGTTCTAGGAATTGAGTAACTCTTGCTTTCTTGAACAGTATTATACTCATTGATATAAACCAATGCAGTAAGGAGTGAATCAACTGAATCACTTGCTCATCCTCAAAAAATGGGACTTACATGTCATCACCGTCATTAGCATTGTAACATCACCACTGCCATCATGATCATTGTCACTATTTTAGTAGATCACACCTGTAGTCAGGGCCTACTATGTGCCAGGTACTGACCCCTCACAGCCACCTGGAATTAGGCACTACTCCTACCCCCTGTCAGATGAAGTCACCAAGATCCAGAG